TTGGGTTAAGGGGGTGGTGGGGGGGGGGGGGGCTAAATCAATGCAGTGATATCTTTACATTATCAATTTCAAACAGACTCAGGGTTGATTTCAAAGCCACAGAAGTCACTGGGAGTCTTTTTCGGTGGCATTCTTCAGACTTTTGATGTAACGCTTTAATTGCTGAGGAATGTAAAATCTCAGAGAAGGTAATTTTTTTTAAAAGGGACAAGTCAAGTAGGTTATGTGCAGGAGCAGACATCCAGCCAGAAGTATAACTTAAAAAAAAACGATTCCCAAAACTTTAGTGTCATCTATGAAGTTATTGCACACAAACAGACATCTTTGCATTTTCTCCACAAAAACACCAGGTGAGGTGAAAAGATCAATGTTTAACATACTGACAGTTTAAAAAAAAGCAATCAGGAAAAATGTTAAGCTTGTAAAATAAATGCAACAAAGTAAAAAAAAATACAAAATTTAAAAACTTACTGGACAGTGTCCCTTCATATAAAGTTCACTTAAAACGAAAGGATAAAATAAACTAAATTTTAAGTATTCTTCAACAGCCACCTATGAATGTCAACGTCTACAGCTAGCCTAGCCAGCTCTTAAAGCCAACACATTGTGTCAGTGATCTTGAATGTACACTGGGCTAGATTAATCAAAAAAAGGGAATTAGTTTAGTAGTTTTGTTTTTTGGGTTGGCTTTTTTTTTTTTTTTTTTTTTTTTTTTAAATATTAACAAAATTAGGCTCAATAAACCACAGAAATTTTGGAATAATCTCTAGAATGCCTGGAGGTCAGCATGAATGGGAGGCACTATTTTAAGTAAATAAAGTAATTCTGAAAATATTGGATATATTTGTTTGACATACTGTTTGAACACATTATTTTTTCAAATCAGATCTGAAAAAGTAAAAATATTTGTTTTTGAGGAATCCGGCCCATTAATTCAATGCTTGGCAATGCCAATGTAGACTAGCAATTCTTACTATTGCTCATGCTTCTAAGTCTGAACTGCCTTTCAACAAAGAGTATGTTTTGAAAACTGCTATAGAACGTAAAAACTCAGATGTGAATGCTAAAAGCAGCTCCTATAAATTTGCAATCCATATGATGGAACAACTGGAAACAAGGCTGAATAAAACAGAATGACACACTGGCATCATTTTCTCATCACAAATGCAAGTCGTTTTGTTGCATACATAAGAAAGCAATATTTTCAAGGAAGAAATGTGAAGACAATTTCCCTGTTCAAAAAACATTACTGAAAATCTTAAAACAGATGAAATACAGTATTAAATTGTAAAGGAATATTGTCTAACACATTTTATGGGTATCTTAAGGTGTAGGTTTATTCCAGCCCAGTTTTCATATTAGCAACAGATTAAGTTAAGAGAGAAAATGTTCTGAAGAGATGGCACTTTTTGCCCTCATATTCCATACAGGACACACACATGGATTTAACTCAAAGTATGCCTTGGACCACTGTGACTGGCACAGTGTTACAGATTTATGCCATTTGTAATTCTGGCAAATGTGATTTTTTTTTTTGTTGAGATGAACAGCTGAAGAATGGCACAGTTGCAAACATGATGCTATACACAGCACTGTAAGGTGTATATACTGTACATTTTATATAAATGTAAAAACCACATGGAAAACATTCAACATCACAATCTAGCAGAGGTCTCAAGCATAAGACCAAAGGGCCAAATTCTTCCTTGCCTGCTCCCTGACAAAAACCTTGTATCCAGCATACAACCTGTGTATGTTCATTTCAGCTTTGTCTGGCTCATGACTTAGATCTGATTCCATGTTCTTGCATTTCTCTCCCTTGTTCCGCTATATCCAGCTATTGGCTGGCAATATGAAATCACCCCCGTGCTCCCAAGAACTTACATGCTCACACACAGCTGAGCAAAGGAGCAAGAGGCAAGAGCACCAAGCGGTCTGGAGGTTGTAGCAGGAAAAAAATTCACTGCAGATACTAATAGTCTTTCTGCCCCTAAAAAACAAATATATATGGCCCTTGGCTAAAACACCATTTGGAACCCCCAGTCTAGCATAATTGTTTTATCTAATGCCCCAACTTAAAAAAGTTTGTAAAATCAATAATTTACACCCTTTGAATTGTTATTGCTTAAGCAAATGGTTCAGTGTAGAAATACATTGCAGCTGTGTGCGACTTGGGTGTGGGTTAAAACAGGTACTGAAAGTAAAACTACACATGAACCTTGCTTTAGACTCGCACTCCAACATTACTTGTACATCCACATGAAGAGGGCTGCAACAGATACCCAGCAGCTTAATGCCAACATCCTAAGCTAACTCTGAAGAATCAAATCTTGCCTTACACTTCTTATCTAAAGTGTATCAGCTTTTTCTTTTCTTCTCTTTTTAAAATTAAGGCAATGAAATGGCTACAGTTCCTAAAGTTCATTTTAGGGGAACAAAAATATACACCTTTTTCCTTTTGAACTTCAGGCAGCAGAACAGAACATAGAAACCTGTATTACATAAAACATGCAACACCAGGCTGATGTAGAAAAACAAAACACAAGTTTAAAATACCATTTGGTGTTTTTTCATTGGATCACTAATTCAACCTTCAGAGAGGAAAAAAAAGTTTGAATTAGCTAAATTGTTTACAGTTTTGTACGTGTCTATGTCATACTCTACAATGATTTTCAGTAACAAAAAAAATATTCTGTAAAAGTCTGTCTGGCCACTCACGTTTTAAACCAATGGGGAAAAGGCACTGAAGCTATTTTTCACTGTGCCCATATTGGTTTGCACATTTTTAATGTCAATTTGCTGTTCATTCTTTACAACAAACAAAGTATGACAGATTGTGGCTAACACACAATAGCAGAAGCTGATTCAAAGTTGACCTCTCCTATTTCACTGTGTTATATCAAACTTCCAGGCTCTCTAAAATCTGAGATGGCTGCAAAGAACCCGGAAATAGTTACAAGATTTAGTCAGCATTCAGCATTTCTCAGTGCATTTTGCAGAAAGGGTCTAAATGAGGCATAGGAGTTTTGTTGTTTATTTTACACAGAGAAGTCCGCCAACATTGGCCATAAATTCCTCTAAACTCTTTAGGAAGGCCATCTTCTGCTTACGGTCCAGTGTAGGAGGAGTGCTGCTTGCAGTAAGCTTGTTGAAGGCATCTGCTAATCGCTGGTAAATGACTGGATCTTGTTGGCTTGATAGCAATGTTTCAACTAGCTCTGAATATTCTGCCTGTTGAGCAAACAGCAGCCATTAATAACATAGAAAAAAAAAAAATCAAATCATCCTGTATACACCTTCCTATATCAGGACAAAGAACTGTAAACAAAATTAATTTGTGATGGGAAGTTATCAGCTGCTTTAAAATAATTTATATAATAATACTAGTGTATGGTACCACTTCTCTTACAGCCAGTGTAATCAAAAGGGCAGTAAAAGTGAATGTGGAGCTACCCTCCACATGCCCAAATTAGGTAAAAATCTTTAAAGGCAAAAAAGTGGGGTAGATGTGCACCTTACAGACTAACTGAATCAGAGATGCATACGTTTTCATAAACAGCAGCTTACTTCATCAGATGCCATTAAGTTTTTTTGTCCAAAAACAACTACCCTAAGGTCAGCAATGTAATGTCCAGAAGCTTGTTTGTCTTTCTGGAACTGATGTCAGATCAGTGTTCATTCATTCTTTCACATAGGGATTGCTTTGCTTGTCCAATGCAGACAGCACAGGGGCATTTAGCAGATGATAGTGTATATCATGTTGGTAGAGAAACAGATGAATGGACTTTGGATGTTATAATTCACATCATTAGGTTCAGTGATGATATGGTCCATGTTGATGAGGGGGAACAGCTGGCATCCTGGTCCAGAACAAGCTCTGGTGCCTTGGTGAGAATAGGAGTTAAGAAGTCTGTTATTGGAAAGACATTGTGGTTGGGGTACTAACTGTAAGCCGGGACAGATTTGTCTCCCATAGCTACCTTGAGATAGCTATTATTTTCTGGGAAGGGCTGAGTTCATTATTAATGTGTCTGAGTAGGTGACAACCAAAGGAATTGGTGTTGTCCTTGTTTTGGAATTGATATTGTAAAAGGTCAGAGTGAAGGCTGAATCTGGCTCTGTTGATCTGAGTGGCTACAGTTTTACACTTGTATGGTAAATGTAAGAATCCCTTCTCCAAATCCATAAGGTGTGCACTCTGGCCAGTGGGATCAGAGCAGATACGGTGGTAACCTACAGCTAAGCTGTAGACACTGGATCTAGTGGTGTATTTAGGATAAGAGCTGCTGGTGTGGAGGTAGCTGTAGCGGTCTGTCAGTTTCCAGCATGAACATGGTGGTGATATGGCAACAACAAGCTTTCACAGTGGTATCCAAGAAATGAGGTTGCTGGGTGGAATATTCCTGAGTCAAGAGTGGCTGTTCTTAGACAACAAAACCTTAAAAACCAACTTAAACAGGAAACTGCAGAGCAAGAAACCATTCAGAGACTGGATTGTGTTAGATAGGATCTAAACCATTGGTGCTCAACCTTTTGGCCCCACACTGGCCCCATGGGGAGTCCTGTGGGCTGGATGACAAGGTGCTAGGGACTGGATCTGACCCACAGGCTGGGGATCACTGCTCCTGATCTAAATCAAGGCTACAAATTCTAATCTCATTAGCTGGATGAGCCTTACAACCCATACATCTAGGGAGACCATATGTCCAACTTTGGCCAGATTCTGAAGGCTAGTCCTGGCCAGCTGGTCAACAGTTCCAGGCAGGTGGGCAGGCAAGCACCACTGCCACTGTGCAGAAGCAACAAACGCAAGGAACCTTGAATATGGCATCTTAAATAGGGTGACCATACATCTAGCCACCTTCTGCCTGACTTTGGACTAGCATGGCTAACTACCTCTCCAAACCCTTTATGCCAGACCAACTGACTGATAAAGCAGCAGTATACCCCTGATAAAGCAGCAGTATAAAATTGTAGGAAAAAAAAAAAAATCACAAAGGAACAATGGCTCAAATATGCAAGTAATATTTTTAAAGTTTTTGTTTCCAAATAACTATGGAAAATCTGAATCGTATGAGCTTATGGGGATGGAAAAAAAGATTCCATCCCCATAAGCTACTATTTAGCAGCTTTAAATAAACGCTTTGGAATATTGGAAATCAACTTCAAAGGGCGATGATGGAGCAACAGTTTTCTTTGTGGTACATCACAGAGCCATAGAGAGTCAGAATATCCATAACCTCATAGGGAAACTAGAATAAGGCATTGGTGGAAGCAAAGGAATACAATATAAGGAAAGTCACTCTACACAATTTTCTTCTTTTAGTTAGTGATAGCTGATATTCACCATTTTACAGAGAAGCTAGCAAAGAACTGGGAATCAATCACAAAATGTATTTTTCAGGGGAGGATTAACAAAGTAATGAAAGATGATAGGTGGTGACACTTTATAGTCTAAGGTGTCACCCTGCCCTGCCTTTGCCTAATTTCAGGCTAACTTGGCTAACCACCCCTCTCTAATTTGTATGTGGCGTTGTGTTTGGATTTAAAGTGCCTTCCTCATCATTTCTCTGGTGAGCCATGTTCACCAGCATGGCTTGAAGCAGGGCTCAGACTGAGCTGAGGCTGTTAAGTGATCTGCCAGTCTCAGCCCTTTTTTTTTTTTTTTTTTTAAACAAATGCATCACTGGCAGTTGACTGCAGTGAAAATATCAAGCATATGAATGTACATAATCAAAGCAGTAAGTCAAAATGAGTTTGAAATAAAAGCTATGAGAGGTAGAAACCACTGCAATCTTGATAGTGAGGAGCTAGCATAGATGTCCAACAACTGTAGTTTAAATACAACTGTCAACTATTTCATTCCTAATGTTAAGAGGAGGAGTGCTGAAAATTCTGCCAAATTTTCTCATTCTGATATCTGGGAAATGAGTTTGGGAGTGTTAGTTTTGCCAGATCTCATTATATTCTCTTTTAAGTTGAGTTTCTAGAACTAAGTGCGATGTCAGATCCTCAGCTTTCATTAAAAAACTCAAGCTCTGTTTCTAATCCTTGTTGTAGAGAGCAACTGAAGACACGAGTCATGTGCATCCTAATGGTAAAGAAACCAGATGCAAATGAAGAACCCCCAAAAGCTATTTTTAAAAAATTCTCATAATTTTAGGTTACTCATTTGGAAGGCCTAATTCATGTTTTTAGATGGCTAGACATTGATAACATGTATTATGTAAGCTTGGAAATCATACATGTGTATGTTTTGAATACCTAAATAACCTACTTTGAAGCTTTAATGAAAATTGCCAGTTCTTCCTTTTCAAATAAACCCTGAGGTTTGAGATTCCCAAGCTGATTTTGTGACAGTTAGAGGGAAGCACTCTAGTGAACACTGCTGAGAGAAAAATCTGTAACTTCCAACCTCAAGGAAGTTGGAAAAAAGAAAGGAGTAATAGGCTTCATAATCAGACAGTATGAAGAAACTGCATGGCTGCTTTCCATTAAAAAGCTATCTTGTATCATGAGCACAGAGCCATGAAACCTGAGGAATGCTTAATACTTAAAAGGTTAAGGGACATACATTTGCAAAATAACTTTGACATTGTTCTACTCTAATTTTCCTAGAAAAACAATAAAAGTAAGACATGTCTAGAAATAAAATTGACAGACCACTTATTAATCATAATCCCAGACCTCAGTGCTCTGAAGTTGGGCAGCCCTGCTTTATAACATGTACTGGCAAATTTAGCTTTGATTCTGCATAGATGCAGGACATTAGTAAGCATCACAGAGGACAGCCCATAGATGTTTCATTGAATAGTCTACATTTGTCAAAGCTAATAGAAGCCAATAGGCAAACAAAGAAATTCCAGTTGCAAGGAAGGAATGTACTAAGGATGAAGCTGATAAGTAAGGAAAGGTAGGATCCTCCTGTCCCTTTCTTCAACAATTAAAAAAGTCTACCACCAAATGCTGTTTTATAACAGTGGCATTTTAAATAGATGCACCAAAAATCTTAACATAGATAAAGACTATCTGCAAAATAGCTCCACAAAACAGAATACCATACCTGATGCAAACACACTAACGTGTAGAATGCTTCTCCTGCTGCAGTTGTCATTTCTGTATTGTGCTTTTGCAGTACCAGCATGTCAAAGACCATCTGAAAAAAATCACAAAACAAAATAGTTTTGTTAACTAAAACACTGATTCTTAGGTTACTGCTATGGATCAAAGTAGAAGGTACAATTTTATTTGGGAAATTAATGATCAGATTTTAGGAAATCTCCATTCCATCTATCGGGTACTCTGCAGTCAGGGGGCATGATGCTGTGACTGCAGTATATGTAGGTGCATCTTGCTTAGCTATGAACCAATTGGCTCAGGTAAGTCTGGATAATCAGCAGTGAGGTTTTCAAGCCTTTGCTGTCATGGCCTTGAATCCTGTTAGGGACCCTACATACTGTCTCGAGCAGCTGTCATCATATCTTCACTGCACTTGTTACCAGGGCTAGTTAGACTGAAGCTATCTCAAGGTTGTGTGTACATATGGCACAACAACACTTTTGGTAACAGTACAGATGCACCTTTAAAACTTTAAGGATCCGACAAAAACAAGAGTTCACAAGTAAGGACTTCTGGAAATATCTGCAACTAGTGCTTACAGAACTGGTCCAAGATAGAGCTATTATTGTGTTATGGAAACACGATCATTTGCAACAAGAAAGATATATTTACCCAGTTTGATCAATTGACATGATTTCTGGTTATAATACAAAATAGGAATTTTCAGGACAGAGGATTTGATTAGGAAGGAAAACACATTACATTGTACTGAATAAGCAGGAAAAGGAGGCTAGCTTCTCCTGTGATAATTCAGGTATTTGGAGATGCATTCAAGTTGCAAACAATAACACTTTACTAGGTACAAATTTTAAGATAATTCTGTTCCTGCCTTCACACATCAGAAATGAACATGCAATACTATCTTCATATGTTACCACATGCATGATTCTTTATTGGCACATGCATCCTATGTTTAGAAAGGACATATTTACAATTCAACAATAGGCCAAATAAGCAGCATTCAATATATAAGTGCAGTCACCTGAAACATGTGAAAAACCCCATGCAAAAAATTGCAGGTGTTAGTTTTTCAGTTTTTGTAAAGTTATCAGTAAGGCAATACGTTGCTAGAAAAAACCTACAGTCTTACAGGGATAAAATAACACTGTTTACTAGGAACTGGAGTTCTTTAAATATATTTCCTCCAGGGAGCCAGGCTTAAGATTCATGTCCCATATCAGGTGAACAACAAACCATTATAAACGTAGCCTTTTAGCTCACTACATGTGTCAATGGGCACTGTGGCTATGACAACAAAGGGAAATATCTCCTCACCCCTAGTCCTTTCTTCAGGAACTGTGAAGAAACTGAAAGAAGGAAGAATGTGATTCTGCAGGGGACTAATACTTCATGAATTCCAGATATTCTAACTCAAGCAGTCTGTGTCATGGAAAGGATCTCTACAACAGAGGTGTCCAAGATCTGACCTGTGGAGCCCCATCATCTTCTCCCAGGTCTCAGAGTTGACCCAGATGATGCATGCAAGTCCCACCCTGGCTAGTCCCAGGACCCGCACTGCACACAACACCTGCCCAGGACCCACGCTGCACTGGTCCCAGACTGGCTGGAGCAATCACCTTGTATAAGTGCACATCCCAAGCCAGCCAGAGCAGGCACTGATTACAGCATGAATGGGGTGGAGGGTGCAGGGGTCCATGGGCCCAATCAACACTGTGAAATGGCCCCATGCCACTCATCTGACCTGTGGGGCCAGATGAGTTTACACCTCTGCTTCTACAGACTTCCATTCTTGGAAACTGGCAACCAGTACAGAGAGTCTTGGTGGAGGAAACTTGAGAAGCAACCCTAACCAATCTGCTTTATTAACAAGGGTATTGGATCTAGTTTTTGGTCATTGGAAACTCTGTCTATGCCTTTTTCTATAGATGGATCCTGGTTGAACAAGCACTGAGATCCCCCAGTGGAGAGAACTTACATATACAGATTTCAAAGCCCTATTTATCTATGTATGGTCAGTCTCTGGGGGGAAAACATCTCAGACTTTTCTCCAAAAACCACAGTTCTATAAGAGAAAGACTTAAATGAACGGGTTGTTTCCCAAGAATAACATTAGGAGACTACTAATCAGGTTTGTCAAAAGTGCTGTTTTCAGATAATTATAATGCTCAAAGAAATAGAAGGATAGTGGGGAAGGGAAGTCAGAAAATTTAAAGCAAAGACAGAGAAGAGACTGATAAACAAGTCTGTCCATTTGGAAGACTAAGATGGATAACGTATTAAGGCTTATTGTTCATTCTCAGCCCAACTGACAGAGTTAGCATGAGCAATCCCTAAGAAGATCAGAAGTCAGCAAGTGTGTTGTAAGAAAACTGAGGCCCCAAGCAAGACTTAGTCTGCACTGGAAGAGAACAGAAAATAGACTTTTAATTAAACACTTAAACAAGGGATGATCACACAAGTTTTCTGAACTCACTCCTAGCTGGTAGCAACTGACTGTTTCATTAAGACCCACCTAAATAAGGTTGAGCAGGTTGCTCAGAAGGGTTAACCCTGAACCTGATACTTGGCTAAAAACCATGTAGTTTCTTTAAATAAGACATTGGAATAAGAAACCTTTATTTTTTTTCTATTTTAAGAATCAGTCATTCTCTCTCCATCCTATTCCTGTTGCTTCTTCATCTTCACCTATCCATTCTTCAACTTAGAAGTAGCCTTCTCTACACTGGTCTAGTTCTGAGTGAAGTATTCAGCAGACTTCAGTGATATTTACTAAAAACCTTTAAATGAATTCCAAAGTCAAATTTACAGAAGTAAAAAATGAGTAGACCAAAAAGTTCCAGGTCTCCATCAAAACTGGCAGGTAGCTGCACACATGTCACTACCCCTTTCTGCCTTCATTTCCCCTTGCCTGTCTCTATTTACATTAAGCTCTGTAGGCAGGAACTACTTCTTACAATGAATGTGTACAGTGCATAACCTAATGGAGGCACTGGACCCATCACTCTGTATATTTTTAATTAAGCACAATAGCAGTGTGACATAATTAGGTATCTTACCTTAAGAAAGTGCCTTGTTGCTAGAAAGAGGGATGAATCTGTTTCTTGTGCTTTTGCACATTGTTCTGCTAATGGTGTTAGAGCTTCCAGACAAAGCTGGCACACTTCAGAACTCATTCTGATATTAAGTATTAAAGAAAAAGAAATGTGTGACTTATTAAGTTGTGGTAAATTTCTCAATAGCTTCGTTAGCAAGTGTTTTAGTGAGCACACATCCTTGGATCTCATTTTCACTACAGTGCTCTTTAATAAAAAGAAATCTTTGTTGCCTTCTTTTCTTAGCTACACACTCTAATGTAATACAACCCTCTGTGACATAACATTTTCAGAAAGAGTCCCTTATGGTCAAGCTTCTCATCTGTTTATGGCACGTGCCACAGATTAGTGAAAATGGCCCTCCCATTATAAAAGGGAAAACCCATTGGCAACATGACAGGAAATACTCTGGAGGCAGCCCAGTAGAAGAGCAGTAGTGTTTTGCATTGCCAGCTGAGCAACTAATTCAGGAATGGCTTTAGGATACCAGCTGAAGGGCTTATGAAGTTACAGACACTATGAACTGAAGCAACAGTAGAAAGTGTCTGCAAGAACATACACATCAAGCCATTTACAAGCTGTATTAAAGGAATGCTATGGGTCAGGAGAAACTCAGGCAAAACTAAAACCTCAGTGGATGCTACTGCTTCAGCAACTCTTAATAATAAACAGAATGCAGAGGTTAACTTCAGAATGAAAATTAACTATGGCAGAACAATTATATATACAGAGCTTTATCAGAGAGAATGTGAACCAGGAAAGTATCAGTTTTAAAGGTTTCTTCATTAAAGCACTTTTCAGTTTTTCCCACCCTTTTGGCTGTGCACCCCATACAGTGTTAAGGATACGATGACATCCCTAACTCCAGTGAGTACATTAGGCTTTTAAACAAGTCTTCTGGAAGCTGTGGAATTTTCTCTGGGAATATTTCACAGATGAAGGTGATTAATTTGTAGTACTGATTACACAGAGATGGAAACTGTCAAAAGAAAAACACTGGTAATTTTAAACTCGAGACAGTTTATTGTTTTACTAGTACTTGAATCTCTATGCAGCTGAAATTTTGATCTGGCCTATTTGCTGCAGACAACAATACTTGCAAGTAAGATAGAAACTTATAGGTTATGGACATTAATAGTGAGATACATTTGATTTTTAAGGAAGCCATACACACACAAAATGTGTATATGACACAAACCTGTCATAACATTAACTTATTCAATATTGCCTTACTAAGAGATTCAAAAGTGATAATCGGTTACAAAAACACATAATATATATGTACTTCTCCAAATGTGAATAGTTTTAATAATTAAGATAAGAGCTAGGTAGTCAGTTCATGAATAGATGTCAAAAGAAGGTCACAGGAGAAGACATGATGAAAAAGAAAATATCAGGAAAACAAGCAATGGAGACATTTAATACACCAAGTAACCCTATATATGGGCAAATATGAAATAAGCTTTTGAAGTAGGCCAGACATCTTACAGACAAATAACGTTTTTTAAGGGTATCTTCACATGTTACTAGGAAAATGCCTTGTATATAGAATAAACTTAAGTAACTCACTATCACTATGTTTATCTGCTGGATTAAAGTTAAAATCAAGTAAAATATACGTTAAGTATATTCATTAAAATATGAGAACTTCTTACTTTGAGCAAATCCTGGGACATCAAAGGTAGAACTAAATTAACTCCATATAAAACAACATCTGCTGCTGAAACAGATCGATTTGCAGCTTGTCCTGGCTCATGTCCTCTAAATACTTCATCTATAGGAAACACATGCACCTTTACTGTTAACATGTTAATATATTAAGGAGAGATTACATATATTGAAAGGAAGTATCATAAATTTATGTAAGCCAGATTTGTTTTAAATTACCTAATCTCAATCCTCTCTCCTCCTTACCCCAGGACCCCCAGCAACACTATGTAAAAACAAGAGTAATTAATGCTTGTTGAGGCTGCCATATGACTGTAAGCTAGCTCCTTTTGTGCCTAAGCATCTCATAATACTATATTCCAAAGAAACTTCAACAACAGAAAAAAAAAATCGGATACATTTCTACTCAGCACTAGGATAACACAAAAACTAATAAACTTTGTTCACTTTGAGCTAAGGTTTCATTCTTGCATTTCCCATTACCAGTCAAAGAAACATTAACATCCATACAAACTTCAATTCATCTCATGCCACCTAGCCATCATAACACATGAACATGTTAAGTCGCTTAAGTTTCATGACCAACTCAATATTAATTCTTCCAGATAACTAACTGCAACATGCACATACAATTCCAGGTATCCCCAGCTCAAAAACCCAGTCTGAATCCTTACCTTCAACAAATGAAGTTACATTTGCCTAGATATGTCTGCCTAATGATAAAGGTCATATCGATGTTATTTGTAGAATAAAAATATAGGACAGGGTTTAGGTTGTGCTTCTGTGAATGTAAAGAATTGAACACAGGCACTGAAGTTGACTGTACCTAGTTCTCACCTGGATGACACTCAGAAGTATGGTGAGAGACATCTACAAAAATATCTGGCTAGACAGAGATCAGATTTAAAAGATTTCATAGACATTAGGGCTGGAAGGGACCTCGCAAGATCACTGGGTCCAGCCCCCTGCCCAAGGGGTAGGAAGTCAGCTGGGGTCAAAAGATCCCAGCAGGATAGGCATCCAAGTGTTTCTTGAAAGTGTCCAGAGTAGGTGCTTGCACCACCTCTGGAGGGAGTCTAATTCCAGGCCCCAGGGACTTGGACAGTAAAGAAGTTTTTCCTTATATTCAGCCTAAAACAGTCTTGCAGGAGTTTGTGACCACTGGACCTTGTCTTCCCTTGGGGTGCCCTGGTGAACAGACATTTTCCCAGTTCCTAATGCACACCCTTATGTACTTACAGGCTGCCACCAAGTGACCCCAGAGCCTACGCTTTCCAGGCTGAAGAGTCCCATGGCTCTCCTCATAAGGCCTGCTCTCTTGTCCTCTAATCATGTGTGTGGCTCTCCTTTGGACTCTCTCAAGCTTCGCCACATCCTTTCTGAATTGTGGAGTGCAAAACTGGATAGAGCCTCACCAGGGCCAAGTAAAGTGGAAGGATGACTTGCTGGGTCTTGCTTGAGATGCATCGGTAGATGCAAGCCAGAGTTTTGTTTGTTTTGCCGACTCCGGCGTCGCATTGGCAGCTCATGTTCATCTTGTGGCCCATCACGACCCCCAAGTCTCTTTCAGCTGTGGTGCTAGCGAGCATAGCACTGCTGAGTCTATAAGTGGGTTGTTTCTCCTGAGATGGAGCACCTTGCATTTTTCAGTGTTGAACACCATCAGGTTTTGACCCACCCACCTTGCAAGCCTGTTGAAATTGGCCTGGATTGCCAGCCTATCCTCTAGGGCAGCAGTCTCCAAACTTTTAAAGTCGGAGATCACCTTTGGAACTTAAAAAGGAACCCAAGATCTACCCACCTCCCTCCCCACAGCAGGTCTGTCTGTGGGAAAGGGAAGGGGAAAGGGCCAGAGTGGGGGCAGTTCGAGGCCCCAGCCCTAACCCCACTCCCTCCCTCACTGCTGGGGCCTTGATCTGCCCCTGCCCTCCCAACTGTGCTGAGGGAGGGAGTGGGGCAGGAGACAGAGCCACAAGCAGCTTGTCCGGGGGGTGCGGGGAGGGGAGGGGCATGCAGCCCAGGAGGACACAAGGGGTGCATGTACTGGGTGGCACTGCACTGTACCCAGTGGAGGTGTTTGATTGCATTGCACTCAGGCTGGGCAGCAGCAGCAGCACTGGTAGCGGGGTTTGGGGGAGGCTATGGCAAGTTTTGGGGTGGCTGCAGCCCCCCCACCGTGTCCCTGCTCCCAGCACCACCACCCGGCCTGAGTGTAGCATGACCAAACACTTCCACTGGGAACAGCGTGATGCCATCCTGGCCCCAGCCTACAGCCTGCCTCATGTGCAGAACCAGGGGCATGCACTCCGCATGCCCTCCCAGGCTGCGTGCCTCAGCCATGCGGGGCTTGCTCCTGCCCCTGCCCCACTCCCTACCTCATAGCTTCTATAGCCACCCATGCTGCTCCACGTTTGGATGGGGCATGTGCCCCCTGGCCCCAATCTGTGCGCAGCAGAGGTGGCTGCTGCTGCAGGCTGGGCTTTGCACCCCGAGTCCCACTGCAGCTGGCCTGGGAGCAGCCCGATGCCACAAGTCCCACTCTGGGCTGAGCCTTATCCTCTGCCCTCCCATTAAATGGATGCATGTGGTGTCGGGCCGCTCCTGAGACAGCTGCAGCAGGGCTTGGGGGGTGAAGCCCAACCTGGAGTGGCGCCTGCCTCCACAGCGCAGATTGGGGGGGGGAGGGGAACGGATGGATGAGAGGCACATGCCCCCTGGGGCCTCTGCCAGGGTGCACACAGTGGTAGGAGCCCTCTGTGCCCCCTGGATAAGCCACTCAAGCTCGATCCTTCCACCACTCTCACCTGGCTGGGGCCCCACTCACCTTACAGGCCTCTGCCTCACTCTGTCCCTCATCGCAGAGGCCTCGATCTGGCCCTCATCCCTTCCCTTTCCCCACTGTGGGGGCCTCGATCTCAGCCCCGCCAGCTCAGCAAGAGGCTCTGGGATCTACTGGTTGACTGGTTGGTGACCACTGCTCTAGGGTGACCACACTTCCCCATAGTTTGGTGTCGTCAGCAAAATTAGCCAGTCTGCTTCTGACACCAGAGTTTAGATAATTTATAAATACATTGAAGAGTACAGGTCTGAGAACGGAGTCCTGGGGGACACCACTGGTCACCATGCACCATGTCAATTTGGTTCCATCAACTATCACTCTCTGGGTCCATCCGTGGTGTCAGTTCCCCAGCCATCAGACTGTAAGGTTGTTGAGGCTGCAGTTCCCTGATTTTACCATGAGGACATTGTGGGATACCAGGTCAAAGGCTTTCTTGAAGTCCAACTGTATGATATCAACCTCTTCTCCTTTGTCCAGGTGATGTGTCACCTGGTCATAGAAGGAAATGAGATTGATCAGGCAAGATCTACCTGCAACAAAGCCATGGTGGCTCTCTCAGAGTGTTGCCTTCTGTTAGCCTGTTGTTAATGGTTTCCTTGATGATTTTTTCCAAGATCTTTTCAGGTATTGAGGTCAAATTGATTGGCCTGTAGTTACCCATATCTTCCTTCCTCCTTTTCTTGAAGAAAGGCACCACACTGGCCCTCTCCCAATCTTCACATACATCGCCTGAGTGCCATGAGTTCTCGAATATTCTTGCCATTGGCTGCACTATGATGTCAGGTAGTTCACAAGATCCATGCCAATGATGGGAATATTTTCACCCTTTTCCTGGTGATCCTGCATCTTGCTATGCGGGGTGATCCCCTTGGGTTGGTGGAAGACTGACACAAAGTAATTGTTAAGGAGATTGGCTTTTTCCTGGGTGTCGGTTATCAGCTGGCCTATTTGGTTTAGCAAGGGTCCAATGTTGCCCTTGTTTTTTCCCCCCCCGATTTGCCATATATATGAAGAAGGACTTTTTATTGTCTTTGATTCGTGTAGCCAGTCTGAGCTGAGTTTCAGCCTCAGCCTTCTTCATTCTCTCCCTACAGGTGTGGGCCAGTGCTGGATACTCTTACTTACTTGGTGGTGTTTCCTGTCTTCCATCCTTTATTAGCTTCTCTTTTTAGACGCAAGAGGTCCATGAGTTCCGTACTGAGCCAAGGGGGTCACCCAGCCCTTTTGCTACTTGTTCTACAGGCTGGAAAGGACTTCCTTTGTGCTTCAAGGATCACATCGCTGAGAAGCAACTACTTGTTGTGGACTCCCCTCCCTGTCAGATTATGGCTTCTCAGGGTCCTGACTACTACCCTCTTGAGTTTGTGAAAGTCAGCTTTCCTAAAGTCAAGGACTTCCGCATTGTTGACCGACATGCAAGCTTTGCAGTAGATAGAGAAAGCGATCGACTTGTGGTCGCTGTCTTCCAGCTTCCTTTCGATTCTCAGGTCGCTTACTACATCATCCCCTTTGGCCAGTACCAGGTCCAGAAGCGCCTTGCCTCTTGTCAGCCTGGAGACTTTTTGAGACAAATAGAGCTTGTTAATGCATGTGAGGAAGCATTGCGGCTGATCGGATTTGGCCGAGTGCTCTTCCAATGAGATGTCAGGGTAGTTGAAGTTGCCCCGATAACCATCCACTGAGAGCATCCAGCTTCAGCCAGTTCCATAGCGAATTTGTGGTCAAGTTCTTGCTCCTGATTAGGAGGTCTGTAGTAGACTCCTACCATTATACCCTCTTCACCACGTTCCCCTTTTACTATTACCCAGAGGGTCTCAAGTCTCCCTCCTTAGTTGCCGATCTCAGCCTGTAGGGAAGCGTACTGCTTCTTCACACAGACAGCTATATCCCCGCCCTTTCTTGCAACACGCTCTCTCCTGTACAAGGTATAGCCATCTATACCTGTGGTCCATAGGTGGAGTCCCCACCAGGTCTCCAGTATCCCTATGAGATCGTAGTAGTTTCTGTTTAACAGAAGGGCCAGTTCCTCCTGCTTGTTGCCCAGGCTCCTGGCATTTGTGTAGAGGCAAGTGAGACTGCTGTCATAGGCCCTAGGCTTCCCTGCACTCCTAGAAGAGCCCTGTGCCTGGGCTGGGGTAGGAATGCGTTCCCTTATTCAGCCTGACCTTCTGATTTTGTGGTTGACAATTGGTGGGCTTGCACTGGTGGTTATTTGCTCATCCCCCGGTGAACTTAGTTTAAAGCCCAGTCAAGCAGGTCAGCCATTCTAGCCGAGAAGAGCTTCTTCCCCCATTTGAGTGAGGTGGAGGCCGTCCCTTCCCAACAAATTGCTGCCCCTCTCTCTGAAGTGCAAACTGTGGTCGCAAAAGCTGAAGCTTTCACGATAGCACCAGCGCTGCAGTCTTCTGTTAACTTCTACAACTCCTCTCTCCCTCCTGTGCCTGGTACCTGTAACGGAAAAGATTGAGGAGAAAACCACCTGTACCCCAAACTCTCTAAGCCCCGCTCCCAGAGTCCTGTAGTCATTTGTGACCCAGCTGGGATTGCCGAGCCGTGTCATTTGTGCCCACATGGATAAGGAGCATGAAGTAGTGGTTGGAGGAAAACTGATGCAGTTTTAAGCAGCAGAAATTATGAAGATTGGCACACAAAGAAAACTAAACCCAAATACCTGCTATAGGGCTTATGGCCACTTATACATGTGATGGGGTCTTAGTCCCCTAAATTGAAACAGTGGGTTTTTAATTGCAATGATTAAAAACCCACCATTTCAGTTTAGGGGCTTCTGTCACCATTATGGTATGGGGTCTGATCCCTTTTTTTTCTTCTTCTCCTGCAAGATGTGGGGCAAGGTGGACACACTTGAAGGGAGAGAGAGGCTGCAACTAGATTTAGACAGACTACAAAAAAAGTGGGCAGATGAGAATAGGATGGGGTTCAACGTAGACAAATGCAGGGTGCTGCACCTTGGGAGAAGGAATCCACAGCATACATACAGGCTGGGGAGATCCCTTCTTGAAAGCACAGAGGCGGAAAGGGATCTCGGAGTCATCACTGACTCCAAGATGAACATGAGCTGCCAATGCCAGACCGCAGCCAGCAAGGCCAGCCATACCTTGTCATGCATTCAA